GCCTCCCAAGTAGCTGGGACTACAGGCACGTGCCACCATGCCCGCGAATTTTTTCATTTTTTGCAGAGACAGCATCTCAGTATTGCCCAGGCTGGTCTTGAACTCCTGGATTCAAGGGACTCTTCCTGCCTCAGCCTCCCAAAGTGAGATTACAGGCATGAGCCACCGCGTCCAGCCAACAAAAGCATTTCTTAAAAATCACATTACATGTTTTATTTTGCTTATTCTCTATTTTCTTTTCTATCCACCGGATGGGAATGTCTTAACCACATTCTAGGACACATGTTGTAATGAGCTCTGTTTTCTCAGGTTCGTGAAATTTCTGACATTCATCTAACAAAACAGAAAGCTTACACTAGGGACTCCTAGATCTCATGCAACAGGGGTGGTCCTTGCTAGCCATGAACTGGCCGAGGCCCTGCAGGCAGTGGGGATTCATCTCTCTCCCTGGGCAGATTCTCTTCTTTCAGAAAAGATCTAGGATCCCACTAGGAAAAACATTTGGAATCTGTTTCAAACAAGGACCCAAAGCATCTTCGGACATGACTACCGACAGCAACGGCGCTCCATGCATGTCACCAAAGGGCAAGCAAGGAGAAAGCAAACAGTAGAAGATGGCAGGTGGGAAGAGTGAGGAAACGGCACAGAAAGAGATCCACGTTTTGGAGAGTTCAAACATCAGCTGTTTGAAGAAAAGGTGGAGGACGCAGGGATTTTTGTTGACGTCAGCCCAAGAATTCCAGAGGATACACTGAAAAAGCTTGGACTGAGGTGGAGGTGTAGGGAATGGGAGTTGAGTATTGATGGGTGTCTTAGGTTGGGGTCCCTGGAGGCAAGGCAAGGGATGGGGTGCTCTCAGGAGAAGGGGTGTGAGGGAGCAGGCCCAAGAATCACCCATGGAGTTGGTTCCACTTCAGGCAAGGAGACCAGTCTTTAGTCTCCACATGGCAGCCAGTCATCGGCTATAGACTGTGCTAGCAGGGCAGAAGGTGGGTCTAACTTCCCAAGTGAGGGAACTCACATTAGGTGGAGAGCAGTGCCCTGGGTGAAAAGGGTACACTTAGGTGCTTACGAGCATTTTAACAGCCAGCACTCAGGGCGGCTGAGAGGGGCTCATCTGCCTGGTGAAGGAGGTCTGGGAGGGGCATCAACAATGTCCACAGCACTGGGGGGCATGGACCCCTGGTGGTCATAGGGGTAGAAAGGGACATCAGGCAGATGGCATTGGTGCTGATGGTCTCTGAGCTGCATTTGCTATTTGCCTACCCTCTGCCCAGGTCTCTTTTCCAAATGCGGTGTGCCCAAGGAGCCTGACCCCTGTGGTCTACGTTGCCTGAGCCCCCCACCTTCTGATTTCCGGTTGCCACTAGGATGTGCTGGCAAGAAATTGCAGGGTGAAGGAAGAGGTCTAGGTCTTTATTTTTTTATTTTTTTTGAAAAAGAGTCTCACTCTGTTGTCCGGGCTAGAGTGCCGTGGCATTAACCTAGCGCACAGCAACCTCAAACTCCTGGGCTTAAGCAATCCTTCTGCCTCAGCCTCCTGAGTAGCTGGGGCTACAGGCATGCACCACCATGCCCGGCTAATTTTTTCTATATATTTTTAGGTGGCCAATTAATTTCTTTCTAATTTTAGTAGAGACAGGGTCTCGCTCTTGCTCAGGCTGGTTTTGAACTCTTGACCTTGAGCGATCCTCCCGCCTCGGCCTCCCAGAGTGCTAGGATTACAGGCATGAGCCACCATGCCCGGCTGAGGTCTAGGTCTTTAAAATCTCTGGTTCCTCCAGGCCACAGGTCATAGGAGCTGCGTCCTCCTTGAGGCCAGAGCTCTGGGCCGGCAGTGTCTTCCCGATTGCTGGAGCCCTTGTTTGGGTCCCTAACAGGTCTCCAGCATCCATCCCTTGATGGTTCTCTTCATCCTGCGCACAGCTTTGTGACAGTCCCTTCAACTGGTCCTCTTTAATTACTCCTCTGAGTGTCCCATCAAGGGGAGAAGGCAGGTCATCAGTTTTGGTCTCTTAGGCCAGTCCTTCTCAAACTTTGCTATGCACACCCGTCACCTGGGCATCTTGTTAAATGCCGATTCTGATTCTGCAGGTCTGGGGCAAAGCCTGAGATTCTGCACGTCTACACTTGGACTAGTGGGCACTGGGTGTGTCTCCCTGCCAGGAAGGGCAGGGCCTGTTTGTGGTGAGGAAGAGACAGACAGGGAGGGAGGAGGGAGCAAGAGCTCTGTAGATGTCCCTAAAATCCGGGTGCAGGAGGTAACAGGGCTGAGAGCTGGGTTTAGAGGGGGCAGTGCTAGATAAAGCAAGTATTAGGACATTATTTTCAGGATTACTAGAGAATCCTTTTTTTTTTTTTTAAACCATGGTGCAGTAAGCCAGAAATAAAATACATTCAGTGACAGTTTGGGGAAATAATTATTTATTTTAAACATCTCAGAAGCTTTGTGTTAATAGAACACCCCCCCCCCCAATTTCCATGAACATTAAACATTTACCAGTCTCAAAACATGCATAATGACAAACAATTTAGGTTTACAGCATTTTAATCGGTCCCTTCTGACATGCAATTTTAGATTCTATAACATTGATTTAGATGACAGGAAACCAATAAAAACTTAAAAACTGATGTGTTGGATTTCACAGTCCATGTCTACAAATAATATATTCACATGTATTAATAATTTGCAATAAATTTATTAATACATTTGTATTAATATGACCTATTTATTTGCTGGTGTAAATTCAATGTTCTGGGTTATTACATAATCATAGTGACTAACACAATCCCAATGTTGAGGCAGAGGTTACTTTGTATAGTTAAAAATAGAAAAGTTGTCTTGCAATAGATTAGAATCTAACTTATAAATATATACAGTCTCTGGCTTTTTTGTTGTTGTTGTGTTTTTGCTTTGGCAACATGTAGAGAGCATTTTATTACAATTGTCCTTGATTTCATCTGAGGCATCGGTATTCCAGTTGGTACCTTCAAGCCTTTATTTTATCCAATTGTGGGGACTGAGATCTTTGATTATGCTGACTGTCTTTACGGCTACTTGCCCTATTATTTTTCCAAAGCTTGCACTGAAAAGAGGTGGCAGGGAAGAAAACATGCTGTTGAGAATTCTTTTTTTCCTTAGAAAACAATTTTTCAGTTGCAAAAAACATCAGGCTTTCTTTCATGCCACGCAAGAACACTCAGATTCCTATAGTGTCTCAAAATAAATGTATTGTTTTCATCACTTTTTATCACTGATAATGACTTCCAAGAAGGTGATTCATACCAGAAAAATACAGCATGCTTAGTTTCTGTGCCAACACACAGGAGACCATTGCAGATGGCATTCTGGCAGCTTCAAACACTGCCTCACGTGCGCATAGCAATGCCTGGTTCCCATGCGAGACAAACCACAGGTGTTACTCATCTTCTGTGCCTCCAGGTCTTCGCCTGGACTCAAAGCTCACAATTTATCGCAAAACAATGGCTCTCAAATTTCGGGTGTGCATCAAAGTCACCTGGAGGGCTTGTTAAAACACAAAGAGACCTGGGCCCCACTCCCAGGGCTTCTGTTTCCTGAGTCTGGGGTGGAACCATGGAATGCACATTTCCAAGAAGTTCTCAGGTGATGCTGACTCTGCTGGTCTGAGGACCACACCTTGAGAGCCACTATCATAAACAATGCTTGCTTCACCAGCAAATTGGTATTAACTGATCAACACCTAAGTGGACATATAGGAATAACATTTATCGGGTGTCGGGCAGGTGGGGGAGGAGGGGATGGGTATATACATACATAATGAATGTGATACGCACCAACTGGGGGATGGACACGCTTGAAGCTCTGACTCGAGGGGGGAGGGAGGGACAAAGGCAATATATGTAACCTTAACATTTGTACCCCCACAATATGCTGGGGAAAAAAAATAAAAATAAATAAAAAAAAAAAAAAACAATACTTGCTGAGCCACCATTAAGATGATCTATGAAATGGGTTGCCCAATAGCCAGGATGGACTCTGTTTCCATAGAGCTCACAATTTCCACACCAGAGTAAAGAATAGATCAGCACAGATCATTTCACACTCCTTTTTAATTCCTCTGCCTCCTCATCAAGCAGGCTCCCATACTTGACATTTAGTCTTTGGCCCTCTTAAGACATTTTTTTTTTTTTTTCTCCCATGTCATCCCTTCTTTCTGGAGTTCAAAGAAATGGCTAATCCTGAGAGAGGAAACCAAGGACTGAGCTTTGTTGGTCCTGGCAAAAATTCCAAGACATTCCTAGGCACAGACTGGTCAAGGACAACTAGGCCGCTGCTTCTGAGCAGAAATGGTACTTACTGGTACGAAGCTAACTTTGTTTTTCAAAAATGGTGAGCTGTCGCACAGAATGGAGGGCCCAGAGGCGGATGCGCGCCTCTTCACTCCTCACCTCCCCTCGACAAAATGTCAGTCTTACATTCTCTCCGATTTCAAGAAACAATTAAAAAGAAACCTCAGGCCGGGCGCTGTGGCTCACGCCTGTAATCCTAGCTCTTGGGAGGCCGAGGCGGGCGGATTGCTCAAGGTCAGGAGTTCAAAACCAGCCTGAGCAAGAGCGAGACCCCGTCTCTACTATAAATAGAAAGAAATTAATTGGCCAACTGATATATATATAAAAAATTAGCCGGGCATGGTGGCGCATGCCTGTAGTCCCAGCTACTTGGGAGGCTGAGGCAGAAGGATCACTCGAGCCCAGGAGTTTGAGGTTGCTGTGAGCTAGGCTGACGCCACGGCACTCACTCTAGCCTGGGCAACAAAGCGAGACTCTGTCTCAAAAAAAAAAAAAAAAAAAAAAAAAAGAAACCTCAAAGCTTCTGGAGTCTAGAGCAGGGGTCCTCAAACTTTTTAAACAGGGGGCCAGTTCACCGTCCCTCAGACCGTTGGAGAGTGCGCGCTGTGGGCCCCGGACGAGTCGGCTGCTAAGCAGGACAGGCAGAGGCAGCAAAAACACCGGAGGGCCGGATAAATGTGCTAGGCGGCCCGCATGTGGCCGGAGGGCCGTAGTTTGAGGACGCCTGGTCTAGAGACCGTGTCCCGGTTCTTGGTTCCTTTGCCCTCAGCAACATCACATCGTTAAAAGGAAATAACCCATGATCCTTCCATGTCCCACTCTCAACAATTAAATGCCTACGTCCTAAATAACACTGCTCTCAAACGCCCAGCTTATCACACCTAGTTAAACAATCTCAGGGTATGAAGCTGATGATTTTATTTTTTTTAGAAAGGGGAAAGAAGACGAGAGTATGAGGAAGAGGTGAATTTTGACCTCACATTGGAATTGGGGCCCATGCACGGGTCTGGGGTAGTGCAATCGATTCCAGGGCAGATGGTTGAGGAGATACTGATGTGTGAAATGATGCCACCAAAGCCTGCCCTGCCAGGTGCTCCAGAGACACTTCTCAGCCTATAAAACAAAGAGCTGAGGGGAAAAACAAATGGTGAGCTCCACTCTACCTGTGTCATGCTCTCGTGAATGATCAGTGTTTATCGGTGTGATGTGTCACCATTAACTTTCCTTCCATGTGGCTTTGGGACGGCCCACTCTGAAGGAGGCTAGACCTTCTCCATCTCGATCTGCTGGTGGTAGTGCCGAGCCTGCCGCTGGCCGACGTTCAGCTTGTACACGGAGCCCTTGTGCTGGCACCTGCGGTAGCCCCACACCGCCCCGACACCTGCTAGGAGCAGCAGCAGGCAAAGGACGGTGACGACGGTGGCGATCATGGGGCCTCTACTGAGACTGGGACATTCGCCGCCCACACATGGCTCCAAGGTTGGAAGACGCTCCTCACTTGCACCTGGCCCCGCGCCTTCCTGTCCCAAGAAGTCTTCAGACAGCAGGTATGGGAAGCTATCCTGGACCTCAGGAGCAGTCGTCTGCCCTGGAGGCTGGGTGGCCACCATGACTGTTGAGGGGATGTCGCTGGGCATCTGCTGGACAGCAGTTGTCAGTGTCTCCAGCGTAGAGGTGGTGAGTTCGTAGGGCAGGGTGGACATGGGAGACTTCTCTGCGGTGAATCTCCACAGCACGGTTGACTGGTACTTGGTCAAGTCACCATTCCCATCGTGGGGGCCCTCGGGCTCAGACACATTCATGGGTCTGAGAGCCAAAGCCTCCACATCCAGCATCTGAGATGGAAGAACTGAACTATGGGTCATGTCCTCACGTGGTATGAGGGTGGTACTCCTGGGCTTCTTAATTTCCACAAGAAAGGGTTGATCAGGGGTGACTAGAACACTTTCATCCAGTCCTACTGACCCAGCCCCCTTGTCTCCATCTTCCTCCTCTTCTGCCTCCGTCTTCCTCCAAGCCCCATCTGTCACAGGGTAGCCGTCCAACCAGGACCCATCGCTGCTGCTCACCACTGGGTCCCCCGCCTTGCTGTCATTCCTGCCCGGAAATGGCCCCGAGGGGCTGTCCGTGCTGCCATAGATCAGCTTGCTTTCGGGTTTACCTGGGACAAATTTCACACTACTGTGGTTGTCTCCAGCAGGAAACCGCTTTTTGGGATGGTCGTCCACCTCCTTTTCCAGCTCAGGCTTGTGGAAAGTCTCAGCAGGAAACCAGAACAAGTACTTCTGGTGTGGTCGAGATCCTGGCAAGTCTGTGGGGACGTTGCTCCCAGCACTGGGCAAACCTGCGGTTGGCAAGGAGGCTTTATCCCGGGCTATGTTTTCTTTCCCCACGTTAATGGAGACCGGACTGTCCTGTTTTGGAGCCTCCTCAGAGGCTTCTTCCTGACCCCTGTCCTCTTCTGCCTCTGTCCGGGAGTCCTCCATGAGCTCTCTGAATGACACAGACCTGTCATCAGGAAAATTATCTTCATAGTCAATATGTGCCTCAGCCTCGTCTGAGAGGAAAGAGAGAAAAACCTCATCAGGTCCAAAGGCACAGAGCCAGTGCAGAAGACAAGGAAATAAAAAGCGTAAGAACTGGAACAGAATAAATAATACTGTCTTCACTCACAGATGACATGATTGTGCATCACAGATGAACCCAAAGAATCCACGTGTATATCATCATAATTAATATGTGAGTGTATCGAGGGCAATTGGATCTACCATGCATATAAACCATCGACTGTATTTCCATAATATATACTGGCAATAAACACAAAACAAAAAGGATGCCATTTACAATAGCATAAAAAAGCAAACACCTAGGAATAAATCTAACAAAAGGTGTGCAAGACTTCTACATGGAATGGTACAAAATATTGCTGAACAAAATTAAAGAAGACCTAAATAAATGGAGGAAAATACTACGATCATGTAGTAGAAGGCTCAGAATTGTTAAGATGTCAATTCTAACCAAATTGATCTATATAGATTTAATACAGTCCTAATGAAAATCTCAGACATTAACACATAGATGCTAAAATTTATGGAAATGCAGTGGACCAAGAACAGACGAGGCAATCTTGAAAAAGAAGAAAAAGGCTGGAAGCTGTACACTATAAGATTTCAAGATTTACTATAAAAAAAACTGAATTACTTTTAAGGCTGTGGTGGTATTGGCACAAGGACAGATAATTGGATTATACTAGAATTAAGAATGTCTGTTCACCAAAAGGCACCACAAACAGTTAAAATGCAAGGCACAACATTGGAAGAGTTATTTGCAACACATATAAATAACCTCCAAAAGACTTATAGCCAGAATTTAAAAAGAACTCCTACAATTCAATACTAAATAGGTAGACAAACCATAGAAAAGTTGGCAAGATGCCTGAGTTGGCACTTGGTTCTATCACCAAAAAGATATCAAAATAGTCATTAGACATGTAAAGATGCTCAACTTCATTAGTAAGAGAGAAATAGTGATTATAGTCATAGTGAGATACCATTACATAGCACTGCAATGGCTAAAATTAAATGGAATGACAGTATCAATTGTTAACAAGGATGTACAGCACTGTTAGTGGGAGTGTGAATTGGAACAACCATTGTGGAAAACTGTTTGGGCATTTCTACTAAAATTGAACATATGGAAGCTTCATGACACAACAATTCCACTCCTAAATATACACTCAATGGTAACGTGTGCATATGGGCCCCAAAAGACATGCACAAGACTGTTCATAATAACCAAAAACTAGAGACAATTCAAATATCCATTCACGGCCAAAATGATAGATACGTTATGGTATATTCATACAATGAAATTGAACCAACTACTGTTTCTGCAACAAGAAGGATAAATTTCATGCCTGTAATGCTGAGCAAAAGAAGCCTGGGATAAAACAGCATGCTCTTTGTGATTCTATTTACATAAAGTTAAAAGACAGGCAGAACTAATCTATAATATGATGTTAAAAGTCAGGTGGATGGTGAGTGTACAGTTGGGTAGGAGAGGAGGGGTAATGACTAGGTCTGGGCACAAGCAGGACTTTGAGACACATTTTATTTCTTGACCTATATCAATATTTTTGTTTATTTTTTGATAATTCATTGACCTGTTGCCTTATGATTTGTACATTTTTATAATTAAGTAAAAAATGCATCTTTTAAAACCCTGATTTTGCTCTTTGTAAAATTCTGAGTCGTGAGAGGATGCTGTCAAGTATTTTGAATCCAACTGAGTAAGAATGCACAGAGTCCCACAGCTGAGAGACCAGAATGTAAGGATAGCTTGATGATATTGGAATCCTGTGAGTTAGGAAGGCGCAAGAAGCTGGTATCCTCCGAACACCAAAATTTAATCACTGGCTACTACTAGTCATCCCAGCTACTCGGGAGGCTGAGGCAGGAGCATTTCTTGAGCCCAGGAATTTGACGTTGTAGTGAGCTATGATGGCGCCACTGCACTCCAACCAGGGTGACAGAGGGAGACCCTGTCTCTTAAAACACACACACTCATATGCACCTGGCTGGTGAGAGCATCACTTTTCTTCCCAGCCTCTCCTCAGGGCCCCACCCCCATCAGTGTGAAAGGTGCCCTAGCAGAGCTCCCTCCCCACAGCCAGGAGACTCATCATAATGAAGCAGAGTGGTGATCCTGCTCCATAAAATTTACTCTTAATGCAAAGAAACTTGGCATTCCACATGTCTGACCAGTCATTTCTGCCCCAAATCTGCCACAACCAATTTGTTTTTAATTTTTTAAAAAAGATATTCTGTGGCACCATGGAATAAATTATCTTTGCAAAACAATATACATTTGCCAGTAGCCTCCCAGAGGTTGTGCTTCTGAGGATGAATATCCTTGTGTGTTCAGTTAGCACACAGTCCCCTTTCAGGAGGGGGCAAGGCAGGAAGCAGTAACTCTTCAAAACCATTTTTCCTCCAGAAGGCTTCAGCCACCTGAAATCACAGGTCATTACCTCATGCACAATCTGCAATGTGAGCTTCTCACCACACATGCATGATTTTACTAGGGACTAGTTCTTTGCTTTTTCTAGAGACAGGGTCTCACTCTGTCACCCGGGCTGGAGTGCATTGGTGCAATCATAGCTCCCGGTAGCCTCAAACTCTTGGGCTCAAACATCCTCCTGCCTCAGACTCCCAAGGAGCTGGGACTACAGGCGTGTACCGCCACACCTGGCTTTGGGAACATTTCTTTGTTGCCCCATTGCAGTCCGAAGACACCAAACTGTCAAGAGCCCACAAATCATTCTATTTCATTCCATGGGATTTTTACCATTTCTGGTTTTTGCTTGCTGACATCCTGACAGTGCATTCATTTTCCTTCAAGTCATCAACTGCAGCTCACTGGCAGCTGGGAGTAGACAAGCTGTTTGCCCAGAACTCAGTCAGTGTGATCAACCAACACTTGCACACTGTTGCCAAAGGCAGCCGTCGATGACGGGAACACCAGCAGGAAGCCGGTGAGTGGAGAGCTCCCTCTCTGTTCCCACACACCATCTTCTCCTGGCCCTGGCACATGCCGACACGGATACGGTCCACAGGTAAACAGAATTCTACCCAAATAATGAATGGCTAAAAAGAAAATGGGAGTGCAAGAGATGCTCAAAATCTTCCAGCACCTCAGAATATTTGTGGCCCTGACAAATCTCTCTGTGACCTCTGCTCCTGCTTCATCCCTGTCTCTTCTCCCCACATCCCATATTCCGTTTCCACACCCAGCGCTACCTGCCTCTTTGTTCTTGCTCCTTCTGCTTGCCCCTCCCTTTGCTCTGCTTCCTCTGTCTACCTGGTCACTTACATTTGAGACCGCTTCAGAATGTACTGGGGGTGCAGGCAAAAAGTCACCTTGCCGTCAGCGTGGATGATACGCCAGCCTTGAAAACACCTGAACACATCACCTATTTTCTCTCCTCCATATCCATCAAAATGGGGAAATTCCACCACACACACACACACACACACACACACACCTTACTGGATATGGCTTTTTTTTTTTGAGACAGGGTCTTATACTGTCACCCGGGCTAGAGTGCAGTGACATCATCACAAATCACTGCAACCTCAAACTCTTAGGCTCAAGTGATTCTCCTGCCTCAGCCTCCCCCCAAGTAGCTGGGACCACAACAGGCATGTGCCACCATGCCCAACTAATTTTTAAATTTTTTTGTAGAGATGGGGTCTCACTATGTTACCCAGGCTGGTCTCCAACTCATGGCTTCAAACAATCCTCCACCTGGGCCTCCCAAAGTGCTGAGATTACAGGCCTGAGCTCCACACCTAGCCTGGATGGGAATTTTTTTAAATGAGGAAACTATACTAAACACCAGCAGAAAGGTTTTATGAATAGCAACCACACATGGAAAAGGGAATAATATATTGCAACAAATTAAAAAAAAAACAACTAGTTACTAAGAGGAGAAATAGAAGGTTCTAGAATAGAGTAGAGAAGGTACATGGCTCAGCTCCTAAGCACCTCCCTCAACCCTTCAGAAACTGTGCTAAGGAATCAACAAATCCTGGAGAGAAGCAAAGGGGGTGGAGAGAAACAGATGAGTAACACATAAGTCTGATTCTTCCTGATAGAATCCAAAATGCCAGGACTTCATGTTGCTCAGGTGAAGGAAACTCCGACATAGAACATTTAAGACTTCTGAAGAAAAAGCAGAGCCTGGGTATTTTAAAACAAACACATAAACAAGAGTAAAACTACATACCACTTCACATACTGACTTGTCTACTTCCGGCTACCATGCCCTCTTCTGGATGAAAGGAAGGTGTATGTAAAAGGCAAAGTATCTAATTTAGAAGAAGTAACAATTTAAGGAATAGAAAAGAATTCCTTACAATTGCTTCACACTGCAGAACTTAAAAAGAAATTGAGCGCACTGAAACAAAAGCTCAAAGGGAAGGTGATAAAATAACAATGTTATGAAGGGGTGGTTATGACCTTTAAGCATCAAATTGAGGACCTGTAACATCATAACAATTAGAAATCACAAGGAATAGAGTGGACTGAGAATTTTACAAAACTGAGAAAAGACACATATTCAAGAATCACTGCAAACCTCGAGTAGAATAAATTCTCAGAAAACTACACATAGGCACACTAAATTAAAACTGCCAAAAATCAAAGACAGAAACATTTAAAAGCTACCTGTGAAAGCAGGTCTATACCCTGCTTTCAAAAAAGCAACAATAAGACTGAGAGGTAACTTTTCAAAAGAAACAATAAAGCCAGAAGACAATGTGATGACATCTTCAAAGTGTCAGAAGAAAAGTGCCAATACAGAATTTCTTACTCTGTGAAAATATCCCGGATGGAAGCTCGGAGATGCAGGAAGGAAACCTCAATGACAAAGGTAAATACAGGGGCAAATCCCAGTGAATGTTGACTGCCTAAAACAAGCACCTATGCATGTGTGCATACTTGCATTGTATTTATTCAAAACACTGGAACAATAACATAGGCATTGGGAGGAGGTAA